TGTGTGTGTGTGTGTGTGTGTGTGTGTGTGTGTGTAGGGGAGGCATGAAACACAGTGGTAATATTTTAATTAAATCCCAAATTTCCAATCACTGAATTCTGAGACAGTCATGGACTCCTTACATGATAGGAGCGTGTTGTGTGGTGTGCCTTCTAAGAACCCCGGAGTTCAAAGGTAGGTCTTAGGGATCTCTTAGATTCTCAAGACAACCTGCACGTAGTAGCTGTTCACTAAATATCTGCTCATTGACTTTTGAGCGCAGTCAAATCTGGCCCCTTGTCGGAGGATTCTGAGGCCTGGGTTCCTAGCTCCAGTGGTCTGTGACCTCTGTACAGACACAGGGGACCTGTCTGGACTCTGGTTTTCTGCCAGCAAACCTTTGTCCCATCCATTCGGACTCTTGTCCCCTGCAGCTTTGTGCTTACAACGTCCCAGTCGCAGCCCTGTGACATTGGTAGAGCGGCTCCGGGGCCCATGTTCAGGGATCTGCACACCTATCTCTTCAACTGTTTGGGAAAGGGGCCCCTCTTCCCGCCCCCCCCCCTCCTCGCTGCCGGGGCCTGCCCGAAGTCCACAGGGCCGGCCTGGCTGCCAGAACTGAGCTCTTTGTGAGCAGCTTTCCTTCCTGGGGATGTGCTGCCACCTAGCGGCAGACATGTGCAAAGACGGGGAGGCATCTCCGAGGATGCAGAGGGGCATGAATGACCTCACCTTTGAACAACAGCCAGATTTCAGCTGCTTCTGGTTTGGTCCGAGAGGCCCAGAAAGGTGCTTTCTTCTGGGAGATCTGCTTCCTTTAATAATGGTACAAGTCGAGTGGTGTATACTCACATTCCCGGCGGGAACTCGGGGTTGGAATTCCAGGCCATCTTGGAGGACGCTGGTTGTGTCTATTGCATTTTACCCTGAACCTCCCGTAAAAAGCCAAGGCCAACTTTAAAGCCGGGAAAGGAAAAGCCGTTAGAATTGGGATCCGGTTCTTCTTCTCATGGGAGACCAGGAAAATGGCTCATCCTTTTGCTTCACTGTTTCAATATGGTGGTGTTTGAACATGGGGTACTTGGAACACCCCAGATTTTCCAGGACTTCCTCAGCGAATTTATATTGCTGCAGACCAACCTGTCTCTTTCCATTCCCTGCCTCGTTATCCTGGAGCTGAGATCTGGAGGAGTCCTATTTTACCAATGAGAAAGCTGAGGCCAGCGATGGGGGGAGTCAGCCCAGACCACACAGCCAGCTGGTACCTGGGGGGGGGGGACATGAGGCTCAGTAGGTCAGGATCTTAGGGGGAAGGGGAGCAGGCTGCACTGGCGAGCTGGTCTCTTGCTCTCGTTTGTCTGATGGTAATCAAGCAGTAGGCCTGTTCGCCCCCTGACCGCACGTATTTTTAAGGCTTTCTTTTTGGTTTGCTTCCCTTTGAGCACAGTTCCTCCAAAGGTACCTTCAATAGGGGGAGAGAAACAAGACTTTCCACGAAGTGGGCTGCTGGTGACAGGCCCACAAGAGACAGGGTTGCATTGCGTCCGCATTTCAGCTGCGGGATTCCATGACCTTGAACAAGCACCTTCACCCTGCCCTGAACCACCTCCAGCTGCAGAATGGGGTTGCCAGTGACCATCTGGTCCTTCGTGATAACAAAGGCCCGTGAAACGTTTAAGGGGAAGGGTGCTCTGTGTCTGAGTATCATTTCCCCGAGATTTCTGCATCATGTGTCCAGGGGAAAGTGGGAACAGCAGAGAAAAGTGGCGCTTTTTGGCACCAACTACAAGCAAGCTAATTGGTTGCCAAGGATTTGGGCCAAGAAACCTAATTTTGAGCTTTAACCGTGTACATCATTTTTCCATGAGGATTAAAAAGACTGCTAATGCAGCAAAGAGGCATAGACAGTAAATTCCTACCCAAGGGCCACAGTGACCTTGGCGCTAGCTTACTGTAGGTACGACCTTCTGGGTGGGTGGGTGGGAGGGGCCACAGCCTCTCCTGGAAGTCCGGGTTGGGGGGGCGGTGGGAGAGGGAGCCAGAGAGGCAAAATAGAGGCAAGTGCTGTCTTGGCACCAGCTACCTGAGCTCATCACCGACTTCAAAGCTTTAGGGCCGCTTGATAAATGGGCCCGCCTCACAGTCCGGGAGCGTCCTAATAAGCATTGTTGATACTAGTCCAGATCCTGACCCCCCAGGCCCTGGACACCAGGTCAGCCTGTGGGTTTTCTTAGACCCTTGCCTTCCTCCCTCCCTCGCCAGGAGTGGGAGCTGGTGGTGCTGGGCAAGTTGAAGTGGAACCTGGCAGCTGTCACCCCCCACGACTTCATCGAGCACATCCTTCGGAAGCTCCCCCAGCCCAATGAGAAGCTGTCTCTGATCCGCAAGCACGCGCAGACCTTCATTGCTCTGTGCGCCACTGGTAGGAGCCACTCCAGGGGTTGGGCTGGGGGAAGGGGGATGGGGGGATGGGATCCTGGGGGAGGCAGCCTGCAGCCCTCACTTCTGTGGGTTGGGGGTAGTTTACTGGAGAGGGTTCTCCTGCGTAATCTCGAGTCCAAGGTTTCATCCTGGGGTTGGCTTTTTCCTACCTTTATCTGAGCTCGTCTATTTTCTTTCTCAGCTAAACTCATAAATGGTTTATGAGGACAGGTGTGGTGAGGGGGAAAAAAACCCAGCGCCTGTTAAAATATTCTTTATGGTGTCTACAGCGCTCTTTGAAGATTACATATACTGCTCTCGGCTTGTGTTTAAATCTTTAATCTTTTGAGGAGAAGGATGGCTTGGGGATAAGCCCAAGCGGAAATGTGGGGGGAGCAGGGGCAAGTGCAGGTTAAAGGAACACTGTCAAGATAAATACGGGCCGCCCTGGAGGAGTTCTCTTCGGCTGTAGGGCATTTACTGCCTTCTGGCTGCCCCCTCTCCTGGGTGGGGGTGGACCTGTGGGGTTTTCAGCAAGGACCTGCGTCCTGAGCCTGCGTTCTGGTGCCTCCCCTCCACGTGTTACTGTTTGGATTTGGTTACAGCCTTTAGCTTCTGCAAAGCTTCTTGGCGTAAGAGCTCTACACCCACCAGGTTGCTCCCACAATTGATACATAGGCCTTGTTTGCTGTGCGTTTTCCTAATAAACTGAAGGCAGTGATTTGATACTGTCTCATCACACAGCACCTTGGCCAATTTCTGCCGTTTTTTTCCTCTAATGATAGCAGCCATGGGAGAGACTCTGAATCCGTACTTGTCCAAGGCAGAGACGTCAGAAGGTCCTGTTTTCACAATCAAACGTTAGGCAAAGATGTGACGGGGTAAAGCTCTCTCCCCCAAGGAGACCAGGGTTCGCGTTTGCTGGGCGTGTGTGCTTGAGTTGTCAGTGGGTCGTGGGGGTGGACTTCTTTCAGCATCTTGTTACATGTTACTCAGCCTGCGCAGAGGAGCGTCTGCAGCAGCGCATCGCTCTGTCCACAGTCAAAAGGTCGGGAGTTGCTACTTACTACTAGGTGACCTCGGGTAGGCTTCTTGACCTCCCTGAACCTCAGCTTCTTTGTCTGCAAAACGTGCCTACTGCATCGGGATCCTACCACCTTTTCAGGGTGGTTGTGGAAGTGAAAATCGGCGTGCAGGGAAGTCCTTCATAAACCAGCCAGCACGCCCCGATGCTGACTGTGAAAGTATCTCTTGATTTTGATTCTTCTGACTAGGGCGGGTACAGTGACCGTCCCAGCCGCCCCCATCTGGGTCCAGCAGGACCTGGCGCTCCGCCTGGCTGGCTTGGAGGCAGGGACCAGCCGCCTGCGGGGGAGTCCAGGGCAGGCCCCCTCCCTGAGCTCCCCTAGTCCTGCGCTGCAGCCCCGCGCCCCCCCGCGGGAGAGTCCGCCGCGCGGGCGTCCTCGCTGCCTTGCAGACAGTGACCGTTCTTTTCTCCCCCTCGTTCTCCTGCTGTCTGGCCTGCGCCCTAGGGGTCAGCCCCGTATTGACTTACTTTGTCTCCCAGGCCCAGCTGGCCCTTCCTGTCTGCTGTCACTATCCACTGTGGAGAAGGGGTCACCAGCCCTTTTCTCTCTGGCCCTCCGACAGCCGCCCCCCGACCCTGCACCCCACTCCCGCCACATGGTCCAGTGCTCGATCGTCAGCGCTCTGCTGCGACCTCGTCTCCCACGTGGCGCAGCTCTTGGGGTCTGCCTACCCACTCCTCCTCTCTGGTCTCTGACTTGGGTCAGGAGGGTGGGGGGCGTTGTCCAGACTACCAGCAGATCCCCAGATTCTGTGAAGGCCCATTATCCAAACTGGGGGATCCCATCCCCCACTCCTGGCCTTCTTGCCCAGATCCTTGGAGTAGCTGCCAAGTTTGGGGCCAGAGTAGGGAGCCTGGGATTCAGGGACTGAGGACAGAGGTCCGAGGGGAAGCAGAGGAAGTCGTGAAGAGAGAGGAGCTCACTTGGGCCAGAGCGGGCAGAACTCCTCCGACCAAACGGAAACCACAGGCCAAGGACTACGTCCCAGGGGCGGGCTGCTCAGAGCACCGGGAGGCTCTCAAGACATTTTCTGGGTCTAGGAGGGGTGAGCCTGTCTTGGAAGGCCTTTCTGTCCCCTGATCTGCCCTCGAGCGAGCAAGAATGGCTGGGTGCCATGGCATCCCACCACGAGGGGCTTGACGGCAGCTGGCCTGATGGTCTGAAAGCCAAGGGCTGCTTTTCTTGAAGGAAACACCTTCCAGTTAGATGAGAGTCCACATCCTGGGACCAGGGTGTGACGAATGGGCGAGTGCCCAGGACAGGTCGGCAAGTGGCAGGCACCGGGGACAGAACCCCAGGGAGATGGGTCCCTCCAGCCTGCTCTGTCCACCCCCTCCTCCCCATGGACCCTGGGTATACAGCCTTGGAGCTGAAGGGCTCCAGCAGCCAGGGGTACAGAGGCCCCAGCAGATCCGGAGAGGGTGGCAGCCGACCCTCAGGCCTTGTGGCCAGTTTAGGGGAAAAGCTGCTTTTGAAAGAGCTGGCAGTGGTCCCCTAGTCTGCGGGGAGCCCGTGTGTGTGAAAGGGGAGGAGGCCGTCTTCGTTTTCAGGGCTGAGGCTTAACGTGCTGCCAGATGGGGTGGGGGGTGCCCTGTTTCCTTCCCTGCTCAGCCCTGAACAGCTCCTGGGGCAGAGACTCCGGCTGGTCCTGGTCACTGGAGGCGCTGGGTTGAGGGGAGACCTTCATAACCGCCAGCGCTGGGCACTCCCTCCCTGGAGCTTTGGATGCTGGGAAGCAGACTGGGCCTGAGCATCCTGGTGTGGCTCGGATGGTTGAGCCCCCAGGTCGTGAGGAAGGAGACCATGGAGATGACTCAGGATCGCGCTGGAGTAGGGAGATTCTTGACGCATGATGTCATGCTCAACAGATGATTCCAGTTAGTCTAGAAGAGCCAATGGCATTGAGTTTGAACTTGGTGTGAGGGTGGGGGAGAGGGTGCTTAACCTCCCTACCCATGGTGCCCCGCATCTCCTCTTTTTGCCTAGGAGCCCCCCTGCACATCAGGGGCTGTCCAGTGCACGAGTGCCCTCCCCCCCAGGGTCCCCAGGGCCTGGGCCCCAGTGGTGAAGACACCCCAATGCTTTCCTTCCTGCTGTAAGAGGTGTCTTGTGACTCTCCTCCCCCAGGTTATAGCGGGACAGTGGGGGCCCAGAGAGGGTGCATGACTTGGCCCCTGGTCCTGAAAGGGAGGCCTGTCTGAGTGGTTGGAACGTGGAAGGAAGAGTCGAAACCACTTCCATCCATGGGCCTCTGAGCTGCCGTCACCACTGAGAGGCCGAGGGGAAGTGGCCTGCTGAGCGGGGAGTCTGGTTCTTCCGTGCGTGGGGCCGGTCTGGGTCTGGCTGTAAGGTGGGCGAGGGGCAGGCTGCTGGCCCTCACCCAGCCCCCTACTTCCCCCAGGCCTCTGGAGTTGAACCCCCCGTAGCTTGTCAGGCAGCCGGCCCCACGAGGACTGGGTGTGCCGAGCCTGCTCTGGGGGCGGCAGGTGAGGTGTGAGCCGCCAGCGTCGTCCTGTGGCCAGTGAGCACCCTGGCTTCTGGCCTTTGCAGCCCCCACTGACCGCAGGTTGGAGGAGGGGAAGAAGCGCATCTTGGGTTCTCTTTCCCTCTTTCGCCCCCTAGTGGTGAACAAGAGCACAGCGCTCGTTTGGCCATCAAGGCCTCAGCCCCTGAGCCAAAACTGGGGACAAACCTCAATCTGCAGTTTCAAACCTGCTGAGCTCAGAACCTTTTCTCCAGTGAAATCTTGCCAAGCCGATGAACATGGAGCCTTTCTCTTGCACTTGCCCAGATTAAGGAGCCCAGTGGGGCCCCAGGAGGTCCTTGGGAGGTTAAGGAAGGAGCTCCACGGGGTCCCGCAGCCCCCGGTCCCCGGATGGGACGGGTTCCCGTCGCCTGGACTCGAGTCAGCTCTTCCTCCTCTGAACTCTTCTCCCAGTTCAGATAGGAACGAAGACCCTGTGTTCCTGGTGGGGAGGGGGGGGCCTTGAGCACTTCACCTGGTTAAGACATTAAAAAGCCCAGGTTGCAGAGCGCAGTTGCCTTGATCTTACGCCCAGGCCCGGCATCAGACGTGAGACAAGTCACTCAGGCTCTCGGGTGTCATTGGTTCACCCGGCAAAGGAAGTGTCTGGAGACTGATGGGTGTCACCTTGGTTTTTGTTGACACCTCCCTGAGGAAGCAAACAGCAGCAGGGCTGCCTGTGCTGGTCGGTGGAGCTGGGGTCCCCCAGGGCTGTCCCCTGCCTCCATCACCTCGCGGGGAGGGAGGAGGTCAGGTCCGAGCTGTTGGCACGTGGGGCCTCAGCTCTGGGTGAGACCACACCCGAAAGAGCGCGGGCCTCCCTGGGTCTCGCCCGTTTCTGACAAGGCAGCAGGCGGTGGTGGGGACTTGTTGCAACATACACACCCTGACAGTGGAGGAGCTTCTGGGCGGTGCAGAGCCCTCGTCCTCCCGGCCTCGCTGTGCTAGGCCTGCTCTTGGCACCAGCCTGCAGCCTCGAGAAGCCAGGCGCCTTCCCCTCCCCCTGCAGATCCTGAACAGAATCTCCAACAGTCGGAATTGGCCATCCAATACCGCAGGAAGCCCCAGGGGTCAGAATAGCGGGGTGATGACAGTGACGGTGGTGGCGGACTGCTTACCCTGAGTCAGGCGCTGTTCTCGTCACTAAATCCTGAGAACAACCCTAGGAGGTGGGTAGAACTATCACCCTTATTTGCAGGTGAGAAGACAGAGGCTCAGAGAGGTCGGCTAATCTGCCTGGCTTCGCACAGCTGGGAGGTGGTAGGACCAGCCTCCATGGCCCGCACCTTCTGGGGCTTGGAGATGCGGGGCCCAAACTCTCCCGTCTCCTTGGGGAGTCCTCTTAAGTGTCTCCGATGCTCCTGGCCGCTTGGGCACTGCCTTTCTTTGAGGAGTCCCTTTCGAAGTCACCTAGCCATTCTGAACGCACCGTGCCGTGTTGTCACGCTGCTTTCTGCGTCTCAGAGAAATTGTCCGATCTGGACGCATCCCTCGTTAGCTAATTGTGTCCCACTCTGCTGGGGGAGAAGGGAGAGGGTGTGTTACAAAGCCAGGCACGCTTCACCTCTCCAGGTGGGCAGCTCAGGGTGCATAGACCCTCACCCCTGAGTGTGCCCTCCTGCACCAGTGATGTAGAGATTTCTGGGAGAGTGTTACTCAGTATTTTATTTTTGCTAAAATAAAATATTTCCTTCACCTGATGGTGGGAAATTTACATACACCTTCTCCGTATCCTCTTAGCCCCCCAACCTGCGTGCGTGGATATGCATTTCTATTTTTTCTCTTTTTCTGTATGTATGGACAATTGTAGCATGGGCTCATGAAGTTTGATTTATTTTTGGCCCCCCCCCACCCTACCCAAGTGGATACTGTGAACATTTCTCAGTACTGTTACGTAGCCGAAGTTTAAGGTCTCCACGGGTGAGCGTGGAGGGTCAGCTAGGGGAAGGGCACGACCCTTCAGCTGCTTGATGCTGGTGTTTCTCTCTCTGCTGTTTCCCCTACCAGCGGAGAGGCGGTGTCCCTGGGTGTGGTTTTGGGGCAGCCCCTGAGGCCGGGCGGAACGGGTCTGTGGAGGGAGACGCCTTGCGACTCTTGCCGCCTGGTGGAAGCCGCACTGTGTCCTGTCCTCTCTTCCTCATCCTTTTCCTTGGAAGTCATCCTTCCTCCAGAGCCTTAAGTGAAAGCAAATCAGAGCTGGAAGGCCCCTGGGAGATTAGGCAACCTAGTATCTTCCAGCTTGTGGGCCCAAACTATAAAGGAAGAAACACAGCTTCTAGTGCCGCTCAGGGGGCACATCAGCTACATCAACCGATACAAAAGTTTCTTAAGACAGTTTCTACTCTTACTACTCGGGGTCACCTCCCGATGCCTTCTGTTCTGTTGTGTTCCAGTCAACAACAACACTACACGGTCACGACCCACCGATGAACTTGGTGACCTGCCAATGAGTTGAAGTCAGGAATACTAGTTAGTTAGCGGGTCTAACTCCCCCCCCCTTAGACAGCGGGGAGCCCAGGGGCTCGGAGGGAGGGGTCACCAAGTCACCTGCCAGGGTCTGGGGTGGGGCTGGGCCTGGCTTTGCAGCGGGGACGCTGCCTTCTTTGGGCAGTTGCTCAGGCACCCAAGGGGCGGCTGTGGGGCTGGCCTGGGCCCTGCTGCTCCTTGCCCCATCAGTGCCATGGGCTCCCTCTGCATTTTCCTCACAAAAGAAGCGGGGTACAGTCCTGGGGGCAACTCCAGCACCGGCTGCACCGCAGGACCATCCATGTACAACCCCCAGCTTGCAGAAGTTAATTCATTTGCTTAAAGTAGGAGTTGACTTGCAGGCAGCAGGCTACCAAGAGAGGCATGTGTGGGGTGGGCTTCCCCGTCTGAGGCTGGGCGGAGGGGGTGGGGGCGGGGGCATCTCCTCCCGCCCTGCCCTCCCCTGCCAGCTGCTCCCACCCCGGGCCGGTGTGGGCCCAGGGCCATGGGCTGGCGGCCTCCTCTGCATTGTGACTGTCACAAGGGGAAGCTAACGAGGTTACTGGGCAGAGAAACACTCGTGATGAGACCTACAGCAGAGCGGGAGGCTGGCTTCGCCACCGTCCAGGGAACCGAGAGGGGCTCTGGACAGCAGATACTGGAGAGCAGGTTTTGGGTGGAAAACCAGAGTAGACAGCCCTCAAGAGGTGGAAACGGTGAGTGGGCGAAGAAAAGAAGGCCAAGGAGAAAGACAGGCAGACAGGCGGCCAGGCCTGCTGTGTTCGTAGGATTCAGCCGGGAGGGAGGCGGGCAGGCCTGGCTCTGCGACCCAGCACCGTTTCTGAGCACATCCCTGACTTGATGGGGACGGTGGGGTCACTGGGAAAAGTGCTTCAGCGGAATTCGTTGACAGAAGAGCAAGAATGGGTGGCGTGAGCTGGGACTGTTTCTGCGGGGTCAGCCTAGTGCTTCTGCTGTAGCTGGAAGTGTAACCCACGTCTTCCCTCTGCAGCGGCCCCGCACCCCCCAGCCTTCCATCCCCACACTCCATGAATTCACTAGAGTGATGGCAAAACTAGAGAGAGCCCCCCTGCCCCCCGTGGCAGGTTCTCTCCACCCGGGACTTCAGTTAGGACGAGGGACGACACTGTGACCTCTTTCACGTGTCAGCACAAGGCGGTGGGGGGGGCTGCGGAAAGTCAGAAGGTTTCTCAGCCCCAACATTAAGGTAACGATTGTGTGCGCCTTCCATAGGTGACGCGTGGGTGACACGGGCAGGAACGTGTCAGGTACTGGACGTTCTGGCAGGCAGCAGCTGTTAGTAGCAGGAAGAGGGGCGAGGGGTGGGGATCCTTCAACCTCCTTCGACGCGCAGCAGTGGCAGACTTGGTCTCCATCAGAAGAAACTGATGTTTAGGTCCCCAGGCAATCACGGGAGAGCCTCCTTTGTTCCTGCTCTCAGAGAGGTGGGGGTGGAGGGCGTTTGAGCCCCTCGGATTTGTCCTCGTTTCCCACTTCTCTCTAGCCAACCCCCACCCCCCCTGCAAGAAGGTGGGGTCTTCAGGCCTGAGAGTCATCACATCTTAGCCAGGTCACCCATCTGCTCAGATGCAGCGGTCAGTGCCGAGCGCACTGGTGAATTTCTGTCCTTTCTCCAGATGTTCTGAGGACCCTTGGCTTTGGGTGGAAAAGGAGGATTGTGTAAAATGCCACCTCGTTTCCCCCTTTTTTTTTTAAATAAAATCATCTTTTTTGGTTTGAGCCACGTTAGTCCTTGGGGCTCGTCCCAAGAACATGGCAAAGTCACATCAGAACTGTCATCCTTCCTAAGACGTACCTGCTTGTTACCGCCCCCTCCTTCTGACATCTGGAGCCCTGGGCCCGTGTCCCCTATATGGCACGTGGGTTCAGAGCCCCTGCTGGACTCCCGCCATCAGCCCCAGGGAGGGGAGACCACGTCTCACCCACCTGCCTGCCCACCGGAGCCGGACAGCCCAACCCATTACAGCATCGTGGGACTGAGTGGGGAGGAGCCTGGGTCCTCCGAATTCACTGCATGTGTTCAGATCAGCCCTACCCTCCCTGCTCAGTCTCCTCCTTTCAAATCTGGAACCACCACTGTGGGGCAGAGGAAGGGCGTCCAGGGGAGGAAAGACAGGAGAGGATGCGTCTGTGGGGTCAGGGCTCACGGGCAGCTGGTCCACTGCCATCCTCCAGCCGCGCATCTTCAGGCTGGGAGCTCCTGCATCCAGCCGGCCCTGTGCCCTGACCACCTGCCTCTCCTTCCCGCAGACTTCAAGTTCGCCATGTACCCACCGTCAATGATCGCAACTGGAAGTGTGGGCGCCGCCATCTGCGGGCTCCAGCAGGACGAGGACGTGAGCTCGCTCACGGGCGACGCCCTGGTGGACCTGCTGGCCAAGATCACCAACACGGACGTGGTAGGTGGCCCCGTCCTCTCGGCTAAGACTGGACGTCTCTTTCCTCCGCCAGTGGGTGCGAGATGCCGTGTCAGAGGTCCCTTTGCTGTTGGTTTCTGTTTTCTAAGATCAGCATCTGAGGTCGTTCAGAACTCAGCAGGTAAGGCCTCCAGCTAAGGTTTCTGGAGCCCGTGTGCCATCAGCTGGAGGACAGAACTCAGCAGGCCGGCCGAGGGGGCGGGAGGGCTGTTTACTGGTTTCCTTTGTGGCTGGGGCTTCCCCATCCGTCTGAATTGTTGCTTCGTTTCCATTTATGTACAATCCTCAGCCTGCCTCTCCTCCAGTGTGGAGCTTTCTCGTCCGCTCACACGCACCGAGGCTGGAAGGCTCGGCCAGAGCGAGGCTGTCCCGCAGCGGAGGGCGTGGGAGGACGGCGTCCGCCCCCGCCCACCTCTCAGGCCCGCCCGCCTCTCACTTTCCTTTAGTTCAAGGGGATGATGGATTAAAAAGCACTTTAATAAGTACAAGTGCCAGACAGATGCAAGGAACTATTATTAGCTATAGATTTTTCCATTCTGGGTGCCCTGTGGACAGTTCGGAGGCTGTAACTCCTGGTTGCCAGAATTCAGAGCTCCTTAGAAGAGGAGAGGTTTGGGGCCAGACCTGGCTCTAATGAGGCTCTGGTTCGGCTGGTTGGAGGTTGCAGGCTTCAGAAGGTCCCAGTTGCTTGATTCCGTTGACTCTGAAGGTCAGGGAGGCAGGCAGTGAGGACGGGTTGGGCCCGGGGGCAAGGGCGGGGGCTCCCAGAGCTGGGACAGGAACCTGGAGGCTCCAAGCCTGCCCCGCCTGGGAACTTGGAATTCCCCCTGCTGCAGTGCAGGGATCTTTTTGTTTGTAAAAGGCCTTTGGTTTAAAGCAACTCGACAGAGGGGTGTCAGCTCTGAGGCCCTCTGGCGTCACCATGGAGAGGCTCGAGAATGCAGGGGAACTTCACGGTCACCCCCTCGGGACGTTCTGGGGCATCTGAGTGCCCTCCTGTGGGAATATATTGAGGTCAGGGGTAAATGTGGTTTACGGGCCTGCGGCTGGTGCCTGCACCCAGGATGCTGAGCAGAAGGTTAAATGTCAGAGCTCCCAAGGCTGCAGCTCACTGGCTCCTCACTGCTAGCCCATCCCCCATATTTTGCCTTGGCGTTCATTACCATCTCAAGGAAATGGCGAACTCCCCCTTCCCCCCAGGCAGTTCTTAGATGTGCTTTTTAAGTGCTGGCTCCAGGGGAGTATAGCCTGGGGGTGGAGTGTGTGCTTAGCATGCGGGAGGTCTTGGGTTCAATCCCCAGTGCCTCCATTAAAAATATATATATATGCATATATATATGTGTATATACATGTGGCCAATTATCTACCCCCCTTCAGAAAGTGCTGGCTCCAAACAGGCTTTTAAAGCATGCTCTCCCAAATACATCCTGAAAAGACCCTCCAGCGCACCTTCCCGTGGAGAATGCTCTTCGAATCCTCTCGACACAGAACTTACCTTTACAGAAGCAGCACGCTTCCCTCCTTTTCTGACCTCCTGTTAAGGCCGCCTTGCGGAAAATCCAGCCCTCCTCGATCCCCGAGGCAAAAATGTCCGCGACAAGAGGCTGAGCCCTGCCATTGTAACCCCCTCCAGATAATTACAGGTGCGCCCGGACGGGCTGGCTGCACACCGGGTCCCTGGCCTGTCCCGTATCTTTCGGTCACCTTTTGTTGGCTTTAGGTGGTCAGAGGTCACTCCGGGGTGCCCCTCGAGCTCGTGGGCTGTGCCTTGCTTTTCAATACTGCAAACCAGTCTCTTGTTTCGTACTGGAATTACTGCTTGCCCGGTTCAGATACTGTGTAGCCAGGCTGCATTCAAGTCAGACGCGGTTAACTGGATATAAAATTGGCTTAGAGGTTCTTCCTGAAAATCTCAGCTGTGGAACAGAGATGTGAGCACTCGGGTGCCTCATTCTCACCAGTGGGCCTGGGGTTAAACATTTTCATGTTTGAAAATGAAGCATGCACATCCCACTTATTCAGGGAACAGTTCGAGACCTCAGGAAGCTCCCAGCTTACCTCTGGTCCCCAGAGCCTGGCTCCCTCCCGCCCTCCCTGGGGAGGTCCCCAGTGGCCGGCTGGCTGTGTGCTGACCTCCAGGCGCCAGGGCTCCTCCCGCCCCTCGGCCTGTCCCCTCTGAAGAGCTGAAGCTCCAAGTGCAGGAAGGGGAGAGGCGAGACTTCAGGATGCCTTGGCATTTGAGGGAGGTGAGTCTTTGCTTCCTGGACTCTGTTTACCATTTCAGGAGACAGGCAGCAGGGCGTTCCAAGCGCTGATTCCCTGCACTCCTGGGAGGGCTTATTAAAGGCCCACTGGGCACAGGTTGTCACATTGTGAACAAGGCACAGGGACCCAAGGCAGTGCGGGAGGAGTCGGGGTGGTGGGCAGCACGTGGAACATAAGAGGTGAGGTTCCTGTCCTCAGGAAACGCCATGATCGTACAGAGAAGCAACAGTAAAGCTCGCAGATGAGTGGAGGTGAAGTGACGTGTTGGCAGCTATAAATGCAGCAGGAGGTCAGCCCGCAGGAAGGCGCTCTGCTCTCCAGGCCTCCTGTGAAACACGGAGTAGGGACTGTCACGTTTTCATCACTTAGTGATAGAAAATGTCCTTGGGATGGAGAAGGAGAATGTGGTATGCACACGCAGTGGAATATTAGTCAGCCTTAAAAAGAAGTGAAATTTTGGCATATTCGTCAACCAGCACGAGCCCTGAACGTGTTAACAGACATAAGCCAGACACAAGAAGACAAACAGTGTATGAGTCCGCTTGTACGGGGTTCCTAGAGTCGTCAGATTCAAAGGGACAGAACGTGGAATAGAGGTTCCCAAGGCCCGGGGGTGGGAGGATGAGGAGCAGCTGTTTTCTGGGCATGGAGTTTCCATTTGGAGAGATGGAAAGTTCTGGAGATGAACAGTGAAGGGACTTGCCGAATGCACGTAAAAAAATGATGAAGAAGGTAAATGTTGTGAGATGTGTGTTCTGCCACAACAAAAAGCTGTGTGTATACACAGACACGGGGAATGTCCTGGGGCCACACGGTAAAGTGCCCAGAGGGTTGCACTGAGCCCTCCCTCGGGCTGCCCTGCCGGCCCTGGTGCCCGGCGGACGGGAACTGGGAGGAGCTGGCGTTTTACCCCAGACCCTGCAGTTCTGTGCAGCCCCAGGCACCTGGCACAGGGGGCCCCGTCCAGCTGTGTCCTCCATCCACAGATCATCCAGGATCAGACTGGACAGAGGGCCCCCTCGAGTCCCCCAAAATGGCCAGACCAGTCTCCCTGGCTCCCTGGCGGGCGGCAGGAAGCCTTGATAGGAGGGACCCAGGCGGCTCTGAGAAAGCTGGTCTCTGTTGCTTGCTCTGGTTGCCAAAATAAACCGGAATGCTTCATTCCAAAGAGAAGGCTGAGTGAGAAGGCTGACAGTTTTACAGGGAATAAAAGTCTCCGAGGGTGGTATATTTTAAGGACTCTTTCCTTCCACTCAGAAGTGTTGCTAAAAACAGACACCAGCCAGAGAGGCTGTTCTGGCTTTGGGGGACCATCTAAGGGGGCATCCATTGCCAAGGGTAAGTTTACAAGGGGGGACCGGCACTGTCCCCTCCCCAGCAGAATCGAGGTGCCTCTCCCATCTCCTCGGCATCCTGCTCGCTCTTGGCACCAGCGTTCATCTCACTGTTGGCTTGTCTGTGGACTCTGAACGAGACCCGGCTTTGACTCAGCCCTTTCTCCAGAGCCCCTGCCCCTGTCGCCGGGGGTTGTTGCTGACCAGAGAGTGAGAGGGAGGGAGGAGGAGGGAGGAAGGGGTGGAGGACAGAGGTGGGCAGGTGGATTTCAGGGGTGTTTTTAGTTCTCTGGTCCGCCCCGGTCTTTTGGAAAGCTAGCTACATCTTAACTTTAACGATGTGCCAGGGTCCTCTGAACGTTATGTGGCTTTATCTTGGAGTGAGTCACTTCACTGTTCCATGACACAGTTTTCCTAAGTCACTAGTGCACAAGTTTGGTTGAGGCTCACGGGCCATTAGGATGTGACATCACTGGAAGACACGGAACAGAACAGGCATAGACCAGAGTCATCGGTCTGTGTTTATCCTTTTCTACCTTGGTTTCCCCAGAACTCTGTCGCGGGCTTACACGTTGCGCAGAGAGGATTCCAGGATACCCCTCCCCTAGGGTCATCCTGGCATATTATGGTCCTGGTTGTCAGTGAGCTATCAACAAACCGTCTGCAGAGCCGCAGAAGACTTGGTTTGGACAGCGTGTTGTTTGTAGGGTGCCCAGCTTCACTGGTTTCTCAGCCCTCATAGCACACCCTGCCCTGAAGACCCTTGGGTCGCTGGGACCATCCTTTGTGGACTGGATGGGGCCTGTGGTCAGGGCCCTCCAGAGGAGTCTCTGGAAGGGAAGCAGGGGGTGGGGCAGCTGATGGAACAGACTTGGAGGCCGATGCCGCCCGCTCCTGCCTCGTTTTTCTGCGGGCCTCATTTGGTATTCAAGGAAATAAGCCAAGCGGGCCGGGAAGGAAGGAAGAATGAGACAGTTTCCTAAGTTGTCTCTGCCTGAGTTGGCCGCGGGTCTGGGGCTCATTCAGCCCTTTGTCCCCCTGTTGAGTGCAGTGCGTGTGTGGTGACAATGCCGTGATGCAGTGACACTGAGCGCTGATGGTAGGAGTTCCGCCGTCCATTCATGGAGGCCGAGGAGGGTGCAGGGCGCGGAGCCGGAGCCAGCAAGCAGAGGAAGTCGGGGCCGTGGAAGGAGTGGGGATCACAAACACGGCTGTCAGGGCTCCGGGGCGGGGGGCGGGCGAGGGGGGCACACGTCGTCACTGGGGCTGGAGGTTTGCCCGACCTCCAGTGCTGCGGAGTGCCACCTGTCCAGGCTGACAGACGAGCATTGTGGCTCCGCTTTTAATCAGCTTAATTTGGGGCATCGCGACACAATGGCTGGTGCTCTCGGAGGCCGCCCAGAAGCCAAGGAGCATCTTTCCGTGGGAGGCGCTGCCGGGGTCTCCTGGACCATGTGGTCCGTGTCCCTCTTTCTTGGAGATTCTCTGCTCTGCCTTTCCTTACAGCCCGGAAGCAGCAGAGGGATGTGGGGAAGAGGGTTCTGGAATTGGAGGCTCGCCCTTGGAAGGCCAGGGTTAGCTTTTAACTAGATGGAGCTGGGGGATGAGCCAGCATCAGTGGTCCAGCTGTGGAGTGAGGGCCTCCAGAAACCTGCTGGAGCCCCCGGCTGTCAGGTTCTGTAACGGTGGTCGAGTGTCACCGTAGAATGCCGCCTCCCTGCCCTCCCGCTCTTCCCCAGCCTCGCCTCCTGTTCCCTTCAGGGTCTGCAGCTTGTCTCCCTTTTAGTTCCTTCTTGGGGCTTGGCCCCCTCCTCCATCCAGGTCATGCCCCCCCTCCCCCAGTCCCAGGCACCGTCCTGCCGGCCAGGGAGGTTGGGAGCCCCTCGAGCAAGGCCTGCTGCCCCGCCCCCTCCCTCTCCCCTCACTTCCCACCGGCTCCCACCCAGGGAAGGCGCACGCTCGCTGGGAGTGCAGTGCAGGCTGTGGGCTCTGTCTCAACGAAGGGGATGCTGATTTCCCTCATGATACGGTCACGGAATAGGATGTTCAACGTCGCTGGTACCAGACAGGTCATTTTTCATCTAGCTGAGTGGTCCTCGCAGCTGAGACTCGGGCTGTTGGTAGCCAAGTCGTGCAGAAGTGGAACCAGAGGAGGGGTAGATGGAGACCCCAGAGCTTGCCAGGAACGGGGACACAGCCCGCCCCGAGAACATCAGCTTCCAGCTCTGTCACTGATGGGCCTCTGGGGTTCAGGGTGCCTCATTCCTGTGGGAGCCACTGCAGTCGTCCTTTTTAAGTAAGAGCTGTCAAACATGAAGAGCTGGAACGAGTCCATGCTGTGCAGCACGGGGGACTACACTCAATGTCTTGCGGTCACTTGTGATGAAAACGAGTCTATGTGTGTTCAGGTGTGACTGAAGCACTGTGCTGCCTGCACGCCAGAAATTGACACAACGCTGTTAAGTGACTCTACTTCAATAAAAAATAAATTACACAAACAAACAAACAAAAAACATGGTCAGGAATGATTTTGATTGAAAGGAGGGTTGGTGTTTTCATATGAAATCTTCCTTCGTTCTATTCAGGAAAGCTTATCATGTGTTTGTGGCTGGAACTTATGTAAATGTGACATTTGGTGCCTGTGTTATCTTGAAGTCTCCTTGAAGGGACTGCCCAGTGTGCTGGCCCTCCTTGTAGGACTTTCTCCAAATTCTTCCTTTAGGGTCTCAGGCTGCTGGAAGGGAAGGCTGGATGCCAGCAACTGTAGGAACATTGGTGACCCAAAGAGAGACTCTCTGTGGCCCCAGATCAAGTTCTTCAGCTCTCTGGACCACCCTGTCTCCTCATTTGAAGGGCCACCTATCTCGGAAGCCGGTGTGGCTAACGCAGTGATGATCTAGGCATCCTGAGTCGGTCAAATTGTTGGGGTGGCAGGGGTGCTGACCCAGATGACCTCTCCATGGGGCCAAGATAGAGGATCCGAGGAAGGAGACTTGGATAGGATTGGCCGGGGGCTCCCCAGGGGATGGTCGGGAGGAGTTCTGAATGTCATCGTTTTTTGCCTTGTTACCCTTGTTAACATTCAGATTGGTTTTTTTAGATGGGAAGGTTTTCCGGGTCTCGGGTATCTTCCCGCGGAAATGCAGGTGTCCCGACAAGCATCATGCCTTTAGGTTTAACCGTGCAGCACCTTCGTGAGTGGTGAGGGGGGGGACCAGAGACCAGCCACTGCAGGGGCCTTGGAGGAGGAGCAGGGGGTGGGTGGCGGGTAAGTCCCGTCAGCTTCCTCATCACCGGTCAGGGGCTCAGGCAGCTCAGAGGACGTGACCAGAAGAGGCCACACGGAGACATGCTGGTGGGTCCTCGGCAGTCAGTCCCTGGCTCTTTGTCTGCTTGTTCAGGGTGGACGGAGAGCTCGGCGGCCGGGGTACTTCTGCCCTGCCGGACACTCCATCCCTGCTGCCTGATGCAGTGCCTGCCTCCCCTGTCCTGAGCCGACGCTCACTCGTACCTCGTTTCAAAGAAATCTCGGGGATTCTTGCAGATTCAGGACTGACTTCTCATGATTCTTAATACCTGGTGCGTTGAACCTAGCACTTTACCTAAATGGTCTTGGTTGGTCCTCATTTCCTTAGCTTTATTTTACAGGTGGGGGAACCAAGGCCAGAGAAGGAAAATAACTTTGTTCCTGAGTAGTTCACCCCAACTTCATTTTAGACTTTTGGAAAATAAAGACAGCGCTTTTGTGTTTGGCAAACAGTGAGCTCTGGGCAGCGAAAAGTACACAGGGAAACAGACAAAAGGGAATCGTACACGAGACCTCGGAGACACCCCGGCAGAGTGGTGTCACGTGTTCTCCGTGTGGAGACGCTGCTTACGAGAGGGCAGAAGAGGGGCAGGAAAGCAGCCTTGCTGAGGAGAGAGGCTGGGAAATACCTACTGTGTGAGCTACTTCTTTAGCTCACACCCCGCTTGCTGGCACCAACCGCAGCCCCTCCCTAGTGACACCCACGAATTGCTGCTGTGTCCCCTGGCACCCAGCTGACAGAAGCTTCTGCCTGGGGCCAACACACTCTGAATTTTCCCTACCAAATACAGACATATCAAAGCAGCGCTGCAAATTCTTGCTTATTCCCCAAATTAGACGGCTCTGCTGTCCAGAATTTTGTAAATGTCCTGTGCTGTATTTTTACGAGCATTAAGGGAATGGTAAACAAGCAGAAAAACAGATCTGCCGGTTTTTAAGCACTTCTGCAGGGGATGTGGGGGTCAGTACAGGTCAGTCCATTCTCTTGTCTGTCCCTCAGGTGCCATGTGGGGGGCGTCTCGTGTAGTCTCACTGTCTGGGGGCTGGCTGTTCCATTTTCCCCAGCACCTCCCAGCGTCCCAAGCAGGAAGCATCTCGCTGGCCCTTTGATGACCAGGCACTGCGTGGTGGAACGTGGCTTCGCATCTCTGCTGGTGCCGGCCAGATTCTCCTATGCTTACGGTTCCCCTGGGCTTCTGTGGGTTTCTGCTACCATTGCAGATTCCGGCTAGATTGGTCTGGAGAGGGCCAAGGCTCTGCACCTCCAACACGCTCCCAGAGGTGCTGATGCTGCTGCTCCGTGCCCCCCCCCATTGGAGTGGTGAGGCTGCACGGTGCCTAGAGGACGCACCTTCTGTAACTGTCTAAATTCCTACCAGAAAGCATGCGTGGACTTGGGCGAGGCTGGACTCGCGTGTGTAAGATGCTCTGTCTCCCGCTGACCCTGCTGATGGCTCTGGTCTGCACCGTTCTCCTTCTAGGACTGCCTCAAAGCCTGCCAGGAGCAGATCGAGGTGGTGCTCCTCAACAGCCTGCAGCAGTACCGTCAGGACCAGGGCGACGGATCCAAGTCAGAGGATGAACTGGACCAGGCCAGCACCCCTACAGATGTGCGGGATATTGACCTGTGAGGATGTCGGGCGGGCCGATCGGTGGAGAGACATTTTCAATCTGTACTCTCCGTCTCTCCGGTTGTGTTTTGTTCTCTTATGTTTTAGGATGAAACCTTAAAAAAAAATTCTGCCCCCCTACCTAGATCATATTGAAAGATCTTTTAGAAGTGAGAGATAAAGGTCCTATAAAAACGGAATAATTAAAAGCATCTGGTGCCTATTTGAAGTACAACAGAAGGGAATCCCTTATCTATGCGAACAGTTATTGTTTGATTATGTTAAAAGTAATAGTAAGATGCTTACAGGAAAACCTGCAAAGTAGCTAGAGAAAAAAATGTACGCCTGCAATATGGGAACAAATTAGAGGAGGCTTTTTTTTTCCTTCATGTTATGAACTAGCATGTATACACCCTTTGTAGGATAATTTGGAGGATCTGCGGATGCCACTTGTGGCATGATTAGAGTGCAAAGCAATGAACTCGAGAAGGAATTAGAAATAAGGAGGGACGTGGTGGGGAGGGAGTTACCAAATAGTCTAAACGCGATCGAACCATTTTGGATGGAGAAGCGCCCTTGCCCCGACTGCCTGTTTGTAACCAAGTCAAGAGCGTTGCTAGGTCTCTAGCTAGAACGTTTGCTGTCAACAGTAGCTGCTACCTAACAGATGTGCTGTTTTGCCCGGTGGACGCAGGTCATTGCATCCTGGGTTTTGTGTTTTCGGACATCTTGCTGCTTCTTCCAAACATGGTTCGTTACGGACACCACCCGATTTTTATCTAAAGGGGCAATCTAGCTATGGGCCACCCCCCACGCACCCCCCTCCAAAAACAAAAAAACAAAAAAACTCCTATGAAATGGAGGCAGACAGAGCCCGAGGGTGGGATCTGGAATGGAACCTTTTTCTCCTGACGTGTTAAAAGAGAGTCATGTGACCTTGGCATCCCTCATTCGGAAACAGACGAATTTTTGGTGCTGATTGGCATGTCTGGTCCACAGGCGAGCGTTGTTATAAACCATTCCATTCGAAAAGCACTTTGAAAAATTGTTCCCAAGGGATAGATGGGATGGTTTATGCAAATCATGCAGAGTAGCTGCCTCCCTTCTTCTCCTGTCCCCCCCTCCCCCCGTTGGGTTACTGTTCTCATCCTGTATCTCACATCCTCTCGTATCCCCACTGGGACTCAGGACACATCCCTTTCCGCTGAAATTCCCATCACAACACTCCTTCGGAAAAAGCCTAAAAACACAGATCTGTTACCATTTCAATGGCACAGAGCGATCTTCTTCCCCACCTCTGTACTTCTCCTTTGGACACAGAAAGAAACTTTACTGCTGGTGCAAAGGTCATCAGAGTGGCATTTTGTTCCCGGTTCTGTTTTTTTTGTTGTTGATTTCATTGCAAAGTTGCATTCAGCGTACTTGAATTTCTTTTGTTTCCTCTCCACGTCTTAGAGGCATTCAGTTCGCAGAGAGGTTGGAGCACCTTAACTTTTTTTTTTTTTGTCTACT